TGATTGACAAATGCCTGAGAAATATCTCTGAAAAAGAATAATGTGTGTGTGGGAGGTGTGTGGGCAGGGTGTGGAAGAGGTAGGATGACCACCCATCCCTGAATGGGTGGGACAGTCCTGAAATGGGAACATCGAGTCCTGGGCAGAATGACTCCAGGACAGCATTTGTCCTGGATTCCCCAGTATCATGCAGAGATCCAGGTTTTCTGTTTACTGTGGAAAACCACGTGAAATAGCTGGTGTTCCCGCAGAGTTTCAGCCTGCAAGGTCTGCTTGGGGCTGGGGGAAGCAGGACATAGGAGGTGCCACATGCACATGTGTGCATTCATAATCCTGAGAGCAAGATAATGACTGGGGAGCAGGATGGAATCATGGGTGGCTTGTCGGGGGGGCAGGAGGGGAGCCAGCTCCATGCTGCTGCATGTACTCTGAGGGAGGGGAGCATGGGGAGGAATGTGCCCCCACCCCAGATTTGTGCACAGAGGGAGGGAGGATGCAGGGCCCTGTGCCTGCCGTGATGCTATGGTAAGGCACCACTTGTCTACCTGGCAGCAGTGGCAGTGGCAGTAGCACAGAGTTGTGCCCCCAGATGCTGCCAGGTGGGCAGGAGGCACCTTGCCATGACCATGTGGCTGGTGCAGGGTTCCCGGGCAACGGCAGCAGGGTGGGGAGCCCCAAGCCCACAGTGGGCAACACATGTCATCCCCTGCCCCACACGGGCTCCACTTGGCTCTCTTCTGGCTGTGCCACAACTGGGGTGGGGAGGAGGTGGGCATGTGTCTCATCTTCCAATTTGGAAAAGATGGTCTCCCTAGGGGGGGATATGGTTGTGGGGGTGCGGGGGGCTGAGCCAGCCCCCCCTCCCTGTGGCACACAGCCTTTGCTGGTCACAGCAACAGCAAGCAGCAGGCCCTTGAGGCCTACACAGGCAGAGCCCCCTGGCAATGTGTGGCTCCAGCCACTTCCAGGAGCTGCACGTGGCAACAAGGAGCGGGGCCAGGCTGTCCTGCCTCCATCATGTGCAGCCCCTGGGACCTGGCCAAAGCCGCACACCGTGAGAGGGGAGTCCCGTACGATGGAGCCAGTGGCCTGGATCTGCTCCCTGCCACCACGTGCAATTCCCAGGACTTCATCAGGAAGCAGGGAGTAGGGCTGAACCATCCTGACTCCATTACACGGGGCTCCCCATCACTTCCAGTGGAGTCCTGGGAGCTGCACATGGCATCAGTGGTGAAGGCTGCTGGCTGTATCACATGGGACTCCCCACAATTGGTGTGTGAGTCCTGGGAGCTGCACATGAGCTGCAGGGAGCCCTGCGTGATGGAACTGGGCCGACCCGCGCTCCCACTGGGCTTGGGCCCTGGGCTCCGTGCTTCAACCCAGCTGCAGCTTCTCTCACCCCCCAGCACTTCCCTTCCTGCTGCCACAAATGCTGCAGCAGGGACACAAGGAGCTGGGGGAGCCGACCAGCAGTAGCAGCAGCCCCACCCAGGAGCTGTGTGCTGGCCAGGGCTGGGGCCAGGGCTCTCCCCCACCTGAGGCTGGGAGCACAGCACACTGCCCTGGCAGGAGTGGGTGGGGCTTGGGCCCCATGTGATTGCAGCAGGGGCAGCTGCGGGCCAGGTATGAAGCAACTAATCGGTGGGCACCCACCCACAGACTGTATGAAATCACCTGGCCGGCCAAATTCAGCTTGCAGGCCCTATTTTGCCCTCCCTTGGTGTAGACCAGGGAGTCTGAAGTTCTTCAGAACTTCGGTACTGTCCTTCCAATTCATCCAAAGGGAGAACCCTTTTTCACCTTGAAACCAACCCTACCTTACATTAAGACCTAGGAAGATCATCTGGATTTTTAGTCCCCATTTTGCCATCAACTTGCTGTGTAACTCTGGAGGTAGCCAATCTTACGGGGTGCACCACCAATTTCAGGGGGTGCACGTGCACCCTCTACGGGTCACCAATGAAAGGAGGCACGAATGCACCGCTGCACCCCACTCTGGATCCACCCTTGGCCCCACGCCTCCCTGCACACAGATGGCAGCAGCATCGCCAGGTCTCAAATATGAAAATTATCATAGTGGAAGCTCACTATTATCGTATTTGCTGAAAAACTATGCAAATAAGGATACAAATAAGTCTTATTGACTTTATATTGCTCACTGTAAGTCACCAGCGAGTGAGAACTGGGTCACCAGAGTTGAAGCACTTCTTTATTTCAAGGCAAGCTGTCATGAGAAAGTGCTGACAACAAACCCAGAAGTCAGTTCAGCCTCCCGGAAAGTGGTTTAGGTTTCGCTGCATCAATTAAGAGCCTCGAAAATTATCGTATGTTTTGAGGACAAGGTTCTTTGGGTAAATCTGATATCTTTTATTAGACCAACTCAAATAGTTGGAAAAAAATCTTCTTTGCAAGAATTTTGAACACTTTTATTATCACATTTTTATTACATATGTTTTTTAATTACTTATGACATTTTTAAATTTTACTGTTTTAATTATTATATTTTCCATTTTTAAGTATATATAATTATTACTTTATTATTGCAGTTTGAACACTTTTTATTCTTGCTGGCACATCGTACAAAGGTTGAAATGACTGTACAACTACGATAGTCATCGTGCATCTGATACCCCTGGGCTGGCTGTGCAGGGCCTCTCCCTGCCATACCAGCTAGCAAGCACTCAGGGAGCGCGGGCGGGCACGTAATACAAGATCTTTATTCTCATGAACGAGGGCAGAGGGCGGAGTAACTTCTCGCGTTGCTCACGCTGAGGCTTTGACCCCAACGTTCCGCGGTCGCCCGCCTCCCCGCCAGTCCTCCCACAAGGGACGTCAGCGACCCATAAAATTAACAGAAGCGGGAGCGAGCGGGGTGACGTCAGCGCGCCGGATGCGGAAGTTAAACATGCTGGCGCCGGAATAAGGCCGGCACAGCAGCGCCTGCTCAGCGATGGGCGCCCAATAGCGCCGGGCAGGGGTGGGGGAGTGGAGGCGCCGCCCCGTCCTGGAGCTGCTGCAGCGCAGGACGAAAGCGGCAATGGCGCGTGGTGCGGTAGCCGGGCGCGCTCTCCTGCCCCCCTGCCTCCGCCTCCTTCTGCAGCTGGGCCCGCGCAGGCCGGCAGAGGGCGGCCGCGCAGCGCCACGTGACCTCGACGGCAGCCGCCCCGCGCCACGCCGTTGCCTTGGAGACTGGAAGTGGCCGTACTTCTCGCCGCTGCCGCTTCTGCGCCTGTGCCCGCGCCCGGCGCGCGCCGGCGGCAGCAGTTGGCACCGGGGCTGGGCGCGAGGTGAGAGCTGGGGGGGGGGTGAAAGTGACGTGTGGTGGACCCTTGCCAGCCCATTGGTCAGGCCCGGAATGGGCGGGGCCTCAGCCTAGTTCCAAGGGCAGCAGGGGCCACTTGGTGCGTCCGGCCTGGCTTCGGGCCGGGCTGCCCCGGGGGCGGGCTGCAGCGCTGCCGTGTGGACCATAATCAGGGATCCTACTTTTCCCTGATTAAAAAAAAAAAAATCCAAAACTTTGTTTTAAAAAATCCCCCCAAATCCACATTTTTCTGTTGTTAAAATGAAGTGCCACTTAGGTTTAGTTTTTCTGTGGTTAAAACAATTTGTCCATGATTAAAACGAAATGCCTGTGCCTACACACGC